TTTTTGTTCGAAAGTTCCCAGCAGGAGTTAACATCCATACAATACTGAAATAGGTAATCCCAGTTTATACTCGTCAAACAATTGTTCATAGAAGCAAAATCAGCCTTGGTGAAATCATAGAAAGATGTATCATTGTTAAAAACAGCACCTGATGAGGTACTAGGTGCGCAGTTGACTGTAAATGTGAGACAGTTGTGGTCACTTGAAGCAAATGGGCAGGAAACATCTAACTCGGCCAGCAAGCTGGCATCATCACATAGAATCAAGTCCAAAATATTGTTTTCCCGAATTGGTTGATCAACCAATTGGTGAAGACCCAATTCACTGAAAAGATCCATAAAGATGTCATAGATACAATTGTTCGGTGCAGAGTAATTTATCCAGTCGATATTGGGAAGGTTGAAATCACCCATCAAACAGTTTATATCACCTTTGCAAAGTTCCTTTATACATTGAGCGCTGTCGAATGCATATTTTTCTGCCAACATATCGAAACCACCACTGCGATAATATGAAATAAAGCGGTAATTCTTGTTTGAGATAGCAATGTCGATAGAGACTATCTCAATATGTGAAAATGCTGATGACACCGAGACAACCCTGTAGGGAACGGTGTCCTTGATAATAAAAGCCACACCGCCACCACGTGTTTCACGGTCCCATCGAACAAAGACATAACCAGGTGGAAAAAATAAACTATCAGGATCATTTGGAGTTAACCAAGTTTCAATAACAGAAAAAATTTCAGGTTTATAAACTGATAAAAATAAAACCAGTTCATTTTGTTTCTTCTGAATGCTACGAACATTGGCGAGTGCGAAGCGGAGATGTTCATTAGATGTTTTCACGAAAGGGCTGATTACTCCCTTGGTTGGTTGTTGTTGATTCTGTTCTGACGCCTTTCTTGCCTTTTTAGATAAGCCAGTTCTGCTTGTCTTTTGGAAAGATCAGGATTTATGAAGATTTTTTTAGTAGTTGGTGATGCTCTGAGGATTCTAGATGAAGCTATTAAATCTTCAACAGATGTTGAGTTATTGAGAGTTACGCACATCTTGCAATTACCAAAACGGCGGGTTCTAATTATCTGAGGTTTGATTGTCAAGTTATCTTCACAGAATTTTGAAACTAACTCCATGTCAGCAATTCCCGGCTGAGGTTCTAATCCTGATAGGACGTTTTTAGACCGACGTTCCTCTTCCTTTCGTTCCTCTTCCACCGTCCACAAGGCTTTTGTCATTGTCTCCAGCATTGGAGCGTTGTTGACATTCGGCAACAGTGGAGCCGAGAGTTGACATAGTCA